GCGCACACACGCGCACACACGCGCACGCGCGCCTGCTGTCCTTGCGTGTGCACTTGGAAGGTCCCTGCCGTCGCTGGTCTCTGTGCAAGCTGTGACCTTCGACGGGCCTGCGAAGTTTCTGGCGGTGGCTGGCCAGGCTGTGAGAGTCGTCTTACGTCTCATTCGCCCAGGTCTCTTGAGGGCGTATGCAACTCTTGCCCGCCAGCCTGATCCGGCAGTGTCGCACCAGGATATCCAGAATCGGCAGAGCTTGCTAGTCGGGGGACCCTGGCTGCTATTGGCGAAGCCTCGCTGAGTTCAGGGTTTCGGGTGTTGAGGGGTGCTGGTAGGCACGGTGGCGAATTGTGCTTTGCCGTTCTTGGACCCACTTGACTCCACGTATGCCATCAGTCGCTGACCGTTGGCAAGGACACGTAAGCAACCGATTCGTGAGGGACTCATGCATGCGAAGTTGAAGAGAGGATTCATCGCGGTTCGCTTTCATTATTCCCTCTGATTCCCCTGACTCCGACCACCCATTCGGGATGCCTCTCCACCCTGAGCATCGCTACTTTTTTGTCTGTGTTCCCTATTATAATTATATAGTATAATATACCCCCCAAACCCTATCCTAATTATTAAGGCCCGGGGGGGTTGCTGCTCCGACAGAGGTCTGGGACATGAGCCGCGCCGACGGCGGTGCCCTGACACCGGTGGCCAAGCAGACGGGGCCCGATGTGGCCTGCCTTCGGTGCCCCCACCCCACTTAGGGTTTAGGGTCCCGGGTTTAGCTGTTTAGGGGTTTAGGGTTTTCATGGTTTCTTCGGCTCCGGGGCTGAAGACCTCATGCAAGGGCTTCAGGGCATGAGAGATGCTGCGCCGGCTACGGCAGGTTCTCGCCATTCGAGAAGCTGACTCTGATCAGCTGCGGCATGGAGAACGTCCGCTTCTGGCGGATCAAGGCCACGTGCCCCTTTACAATCATTCTGATAATCAGGAGCTGCTTGTGTGTAGGATTCTTGCAGATTGGAAGCGGTTCTCCGAGACACCGAAAACGTAACACACGCTCAGGTACGAGTCCAACAGCACCAAATCAACGACTCTTGCGTTTGTATCTTTTCAGGATTCGTTTCTTGAGGGCCGGCAGAGATGTCAATGCCAAGATTCTGGGTTCTTCAGAAAGTGTTGGATGGAAGTTTGAGATGGCAATCCTTAGACTCGGCCTGAGACCTAAAAAGAGCGGATCTTGGCGAAGTTCTTTCGGAGATCCGCCCCGTTTGCTTGGGAGAGGGGGGGGGTTCGATCCTCAAAACAGCACCGGGCCGTTAACTTTCCCAATCCGAAACACGCAAAGGAGTCCTTTTGCGCCAGGATAGCCACCTCAGCGGCTGCATGGTGGCAGCCCTGGGCTTCTCCTGCCCCACTCATATCTCCCACTATGCTTCAGACGGCCAAAAAGCCAAACTCTGCAGATAAGTCCGTCTTCCGCTCTCTGTCTCGCTTCCAGTTGGGTTGAGGTGCAGCTGCAGGTCCTCGCGTCGGTGGAATATATATGTAAGCTACAGGGCTGCTTTGGTTCGGGAAGTTTCGCTGGTTCATAGCCAGCTACATGTTGAGTCCTGCTACAGGATGTGGTGCTAGATCCTCCGTCTTCTTGATCCTTGAAGTTTGGCATTCACGCTCTGTTGCCTCGTCCCTCAGCCCCTTCAGCACAGCCGGGTACAGCGAGGTCCCGCTGGGAGGTCTGGCGCGCCAAATGCAGCTCCGCTGATCCTGGTCAGCTGGGTTGGCGTCAGCCTTTTCGGACAAGCACTGGTGGCGATGATGAGGATTGCAGAGGGACATCTCGCGGTGACACTGATGATGAGAGCGGTGATAATGGTGATGTTGATGATGAGGATGATGATGATGGTCATCTTCATTTACATGGTGGATTTGCTGTGGGGGCTGCTGTTTCGGATGCGGTGACTGAATTTGTTCTACAACCCTACAACTTCTAAAAGAAACCTTGTGAAGCCAGATCGCCAAATCTTGCTTACTGTACCTTGTACTGTAAGGATTGGCAGGCTCCTCAAGCGAAAGCCAGCCAAGGCACTTCACGGCACTGGCTTTCGAGTGCCGCCGCGCAGGCAGCCTTCGTGGCTGGATTTGGAAGACATCGTTACCGTATAACCGCAAGCCGAAGCCCCTCTGGCACAGCCGAGTTGTGAGAACATGAGCCCAGCGTCCCCCGAAGTGATGGGCCGGCCGTTCGAGGCACCCTGAAACTCCATGGGGGCCCCGGGACTCCTTTACAAGCAAGCTTCTGCAGTTCAACACCCACTCAACTTGATGGCTACGTGGAGGTTTCTCAAAATCATTCAGGCATTGCTAACGGTAAGTGCTATGCTTCAGGAATGTTTAGGGCTTAGATTGGGATGAGAAGTTTTCGGAGGGCAGAATCTCATATTGACGGGGCATCCTCTAGATGCTGTTGGATCCTTTGGCCTGCTGCCCGATCTCTGTGTCAGGTGAAAATAGGCCATTGCCAAACCTTTCAGCCGGACGGGAAGTAATGTAGCTCGACAGACCATCGATCCGATCACAAACAAACAACCAATAGCAAGAAATCCTAACAGCCAGCCGTTTTGGCAGGTCACAGCTTCTGCTTGCCTTCCGAAGCAGCCGAACAGGTCCGATTCTGGGCAGCGCCCCTGGTGTTGCAGGGGGGAGCACAGAATCACGGGATGCTCCTGCACATCATAAGGATGGATTTCCACCCGACGACGCAGGTTGCAGGTGTTGTAGAGTGGAAGAGGGTCAACCACTGTCGCTAACGACTGGCCTGTTGTGATGACAAAGTCTGATCATAAGTATTTGTCGCAGTCTCCACTGTCGCCGTGGTGGTCGCGGTGCACATGATATGATGGTGCTGTTGATGATGTGTAAGTACTAGTACTAGTGGCAGTAGCCAGTAGCGTTCCAGTCATTTCCGCGAAAGCTCGTGCTGTCGGCTGCTGTTTTTGTGGAACACCACAACCAGCATTCTTTCTGCTGTGCCGTTGCTGCTGCTGCTGCTGCTACCTCGCGGCAATTCCGGCAGCGGCACATGTCCGCTCTTTCCAAAGCATGAGGTGGGAACTGCAGATGGCCGCGTGATTGAGCTGGGCCACAAGAGTCGGAAGGCCTGCCCTTTCATGTTTTCTGTCTTCGGAATCCGGAATCGCGTCGCCACAGACACACCGCAGATCATACGGGTGATAGATCCGCGGATCGCGGCTACTTTGGGGCGCGCCCAGCGCAATCCATGTCAGGTCCTGGCAGTGCATCAGCTGCACACTCAGGCGGGCCGTGCCAACTCGGACCAGCTCCACTCTTTTGTTTCAGATAGCAGTGAGAAGAGAGAATTTCCTGGAGTTCGGCAGTCCACACGTAGTAGGAACGCTCGGCTCGCGTGCAGCGCCATCAGTTCCGCAGAGGCGATCACGGGGCTTTGTGCCAACGAGTCCTTCGTGGTGACCGCTTCTGCTGACCGACACGTGCGGGTGGGGATGCCAAGAGGTCCTTCTCAGTCCAGTGCTGCGAGTGAGGAGCCGTTGGTTCTTTGCATTGATGGTTCAGTGAGGGTTTTTGTGCCTCCAAGGTCTGGCCCTTGGACTTCCGATCCTTCTACCTTCATGCCCTTCACGAGACCGCCGTGACCGGCATCGACATCAGCCTTGATGGGCGGCAGGCACTTAGGGCCGTCTGCGGATGTTTAGGGTTGGGTTTACGAAGTTTAAGAGTTTCTACTAAGTCTGCCGACGCCAAGCAGCAACTCTTTTGGTGCTCGTTGGTGCACTGCTTGTGAGCTCTCGCTCTACACGGCTCACTCCACGTGCCTTGCATGAGGTGCTCTGTAGCACTGCGGACGGTTCCGTGGGCATGTGCCGGGCCCAGGAGCATTCAGGACCCTCAGAGACGCGGCTCAGTCTTGGGTTTTACTTAAGGACGCTCCCGGGGTAAGAATCCGTCAGAGATTGAAGCCGCCTGTGCATCCTGCCCTGTGAGTGGCCTCTTGCATTTGGAAACGACACCTCGGACGTTGTAGAAGCCTATGTGTCTGGGCCGCGAATGCACGATCTCCGAATGCGTCAATTCCTTGATTTGCTCGTGCCGGCACCTGCACGTCGTGTGGTGGGAAAGGGCGAATGAAACAGGAACCAGGCAGCGAGCGCAGTGACAGTGAGGTTGGACCTCCAGTCCCACCAGTACCAGGATTTTCTGCGGCAGGCTCCTCAGAGTTCTCGATTGCTCCATGCCAGTCGCAGCTTTCAATGCTTGACGGCCGGTGGGTTCTCATGTTGTAGCCTTGTGTTCCCCGAGTGGTCTTGTAAGACTTCCATCGTCCTGTTGGCCGAGGTCTCACCGGACCTCAGTCTTGCGAGCAGTCCAGACGCCCAGCCGTCCTTAAAGCTTGGGGTACGCTTCAGACCATTCCTGCTGCACCCGAAGAGGGCATGGAGCCGTGGAGATCTTGCAGGAAGTCATACATGCAGATCGACTCTCAGAAAGAAGCAGAACCGACTCTTTTCATCCGAGGCCCTCGCCGATGCCAGGCACTCTGAAAAACCGCAGGCACATGCAGGCGGTAAGAGCGCCAGGTTTGCAAATGCGGCGTGGGAGAAAGTGCTTTCGCGGGTCAAGACGAATGAGCTGATGAAATAGGCACCGGAGATCCCTCCGAGACATCATTTCATCCAGCGAACACCGCAAGGCTCCCGAACCAATCAGGAAGTAAGAAGCCAAACCCATCCGCGATGGACCGATAGACTCCTTCTGCCCGGTCCGAGGCTGGACAGCTTGCTAGCGTCGCGGAGGGATCTCTCAAGGCCGATAGGAAGGGTGCTCTGGTAGGATTTCTTTGGAAGTTAAATGGCTTGTAACTCCTGCCTCACCAGCATGTATGGGCATCAGGTACATGCAGCGTCTGACAGACCTGGTCGCTGCTAACCTCTTGCGCTTTTGAGGTCATGTTGTTTGTGCAGCGGGTTGCGGCTCCCGCTCCGTCTTTTCCCCGTCGTTGGTTCATGCTGACTCTGTGACGACTCACCTGCGTTCGGCAAAAAAAGGTGGTAAGAGCGCTGAAGCTTTGGGAGGTTTGGAGCTTCCCGGCTCTGGACCAGATCGGAGACTTTCCGCTGCCGGAAGCGCAGGTGGAGGCGAACTGTCCTCGGAATTCGAGCTACTCAAAGAGAGAGTAAGTAAAAGAAGCAAGGGCTGCCTCACAATCCAAGCTGCTGCTGTACGGGCAGAGGCATAGTTGCTCGCAGAAGATTCTGGGCGGGCTTGATTCATCCTCCAAAGCAGCCGCTTCTTGTGACATTGCAGCTCCTCTGGCATACTGTCGCAGCTGCTGTAGAGACGGGCGAGAGATGTGTCGTGTCATGCGCGAGGCAGTGGCTTGCCATCCTTTTCGACGCCAGATTGCGATCAGCTTCCGGCAAGGAGCTCAATCGAACTCTGTCGGCTGAAGGGAAAGAGCTACGGTCAGGGTATGGAGAACTGCTGCCTGTTTTTTCTTGATGGAGGTTTCTGTGATTGCACTTGTCGATGTATCTCCACTGCCTCACCCGTTTCAGTTTCTCTACGCTTCTTTCGGGGCCTGCGATTCGAGAAGAACCTGAAGCCGTGCTGCTTGGAGTGTCAGGGCTCCTCAAGCGACAGACACAGCGGAATCTCCCAAGCTTGTGTGACGTTTTGCGGAGTCACTGCGCAGCTCAAGTCGCAGAGGTCTGGCAAACTGCTGGTCTTCGATGTGACCGCGGCCGTCGGGGACCTGCCTTGTGAATCGGATTTGGTTGCAGGGAGGTTAATTAAGGGGCGATTCTTCTGGAAATGCGTGCAGGAACAACACGGCGCAACTATGAACAGGGTGACGACAAGCTCAGTTATCTTTGGAAATATGAAGTGCCACCTCCAGACTCTTCTAGAAACAGCAACGGTATTGAATTGTGGCACCGGCCGAAGATGTCATTTCAAGGTGGACCTTTGTTGTGTGTATTGCTATGAAGCGGATCTGTAATTGATGTCCTGACATGCATTCGCTCTCCATGTGCTCCTTGTTTCTCCTTGCCACATTGTCAAGTCAGGGTGGTTTTCCAAGGTTGTGGGTTGCGCGGGAATTGCAGGAGAAGACAGGCTAGGGCCGGGTTTAGAGCCTAGAGATGCAGAGGGAGATTGGCCGTACTGTGACCTGGGGATTGGGCTCACAATGCCGTGTTTTCCCTTGGAGGCGTAGCAGTCAATGCAGAACTGTTGACTCAGCGCCTGTGTGAAAGAAACAGCAAATGACCGCGACAGTCGTAGTGGTCATGACATCATGACAGAGGCGGAGGCGGCTCCAGCCCGCAGCCTGTAGAGCAGACTTGTCGTCGCATGGTGTGTCGAACTTCCGGCTGAGGCGGCTATGGCCCAGCGGCAGCACGAACATAGGCTGCCACTGCTTCGCTTCCTTGCGTGCTTGGGCCTCAGCTGCCCAGAAGCAATTCGCAATCCATGGGTCGAGGGACAGCAGCATGGCTGTGCTGAGCACTGTCTCGTCGGGGCCGCTGTCATAGAACCTGTTCCAAGCTTGTGCTCCGACCATAGTCGGTTGAGTTTCCGCTGGCCTGTCGGCATCTCCAAGTGATCGCGCCAAGGGCAACCAAACAACGGCGATGTCCTCAACTCTTCAGCAACGTGCACTGAACAAACGAACACTTGTTTTCTCCTGCAGAAGGCATGGGCTGACATTGGGCTCATCAGACCTGTGGCTGATTCACCCTGCAATAACGGTGACGTCTGCACCCACCTGTGGCCGAGGTGGCGCCGAGGACGAGGCCTGGCAGTGCCATGCCGGCCTCAAGGAAGCCGAATTTAGGAAGCCTCGCTACCGTTGCATTTGTGGACTTTTTTGTCGGGTTGATTCTGCCCCATCTTAGTCGACGCAAGAACATGTTTGGCGCGGAGCCCTCTGGGAGCCCAAAGATGTGCCTCGGGCGAGGCAAGAGGAGCCAGCCTGGTAGCCGCAGACACGACCAGCACCATTGTGCTGTTCAGCGAGGTGGGTGTAGCGAGAGATGGATGGCTCGCTTCTGTGCCACCGTACCGCTTGCAACCAGCTGCCACGACCTCTCCGGCATGCGGAGCAGTTGGGAGTTGAGAAACCCGACGCGGCAGGCCCAAGGCTACGAAGCTCTCGGGAGTTCCGGTGCCGAAGTCCCATGCCCGGATGCCCGGACGATCGCGGGGAGAGTTGGGTCCGGGTCGATTCTTCATACTGGGGGAGGACAATGCATACAGCTACTACGCGATTAGAGTCTACAGCTCCTTCCTGGCTTGCTGGCTTGGCCCTAAGCCCTAGATCTACCACAGCGGGTAGTATTGGAAGCCCACCGCAAAGCCAAGAGCTGCCAAGAGTCAGGCCTGGGCTTCGATGGCTCTCCGGCACCTGCGATGAGCGGAACTCCGCCCAGGCACCCTGGGACAGACAGGGCTCTTCGGAAGGGTCTTCTCAAAAGCATCCGGGGGGAGTGGAATGTATTGGAGTGGTTGGGGGTTTTCTGTACCTTTAGGCTCGGTTTCGAGATCGAGTCTCCAGGCTGGTCTCCTGAGCTTGATGCCCCTTGATGCGCAAATGCATTCTGGCGTTTGTTGGCACCATCAGAATGTGTGCAATCGAAAACGCAGCTTTTAAGCACCGGCAACAGAATCACAGCTCCTTTTGGTCCCAGAAGAGGCACCAGCAGATATGGCTCGGGGGCCTCCGACAATTCGAACAAGCGGCGCCGTAGATTGTATTCGTACTTGAGACAGAAGGGTGTTTGAAAAGCTCCACACCACTTCGTACTGGTGCAACCGCGCAGAAATCCATCAAACACACTGGCAGGGGGTATGCAAAATCACCAAAACATCGTCAGCATGGCAGTCATGCTCAGCACCAGCTGCAGCATCTTGTTTTTCCATCGTGTTTGAGGCCAGGCCAGTGCTTACACTGCCACCATGGCTTTCATCCTGGTTCCATCCTTGTCTCCCCCCTCGGCATCGTCAGCATGAGTAATTAGTAATTAGTACCAGCATCAGCATCGGCAAAAAGTGGCATGTCGCCAGCACCATGAAAGCACCCACAGGTTGCTTTGGCTGACCGAGAGCCGATCCGTGGCTCCTAGTCTCTCCGAGTTGGGTAGAGCGGATGTGCATGTACTTAGGAACTGAATGATGTGACTGGTTTGTCAGGCAGGCGGCTTCGACCTTCCAACTTAGATCAAACCCTTGTTGGCGTTTCTTGCCGGCGGCTGATCCAAGGCTTTGCAGAGCCTTCCAGACGCCCGGCTCGTCGCAAACCTTGCGGCCAACACGAAGGCCGCTATGTCTCCCTATGACCCTATGTGTAGGTATAGGCAGGTAGGTAGGTAGGTAGGTAGGTAGGTAGGTAGGTAGGTAGGTAGGTAGGTAGGTAAGTAGGTATGCGGGTATGCATGCTTGAACGCATGTAGCTTGTACGTATTGTACGTATGTAGTATACACCTAAGGCATTTGTGTATACCTGGTTTGTGTACACGAGTATGTGTGTGTGTGCACATATATATATATATATAGTATTAAGGGTGCGTGTTTACATACCTGCACCCGCATGCAGCTCGACATTGCTGTGGAGCTGCCTCGTCATGACTGAGTTGTGAGGATCGCCCCCCTTACGTCCCAGAGGCCTAGTGCTGAGGTTCCCAGGACTCCCATGGCTGTGAAGCGTCTCGGAGCCAGGTCTCATGCCTTGGCTTTTCGCAATCGGGACGCTTCGTGCTGATTGGCGCCTCCGAAGCAATAACCGTCAATAACCTCTACCTGAGTTTCCGAGCACAAATGCCTAGTGTCGGTTCGGACGTGCTATGACGGCGACATCTCATTGGCCATCGCGCGGTCATCAACAGTGTCACACCTCGTGGTATCATTTGTCATGCGATGTCATGCGTGTAGAATCGTCCGAGGCACTGCGGATCTGAAGATCCGGGCCTTCGAGGACCGCTCTGCGTACGGGTGGGTAGACAGCGGGTTGGTTTATGCTTGCGTCCCCCGGTGTGGGGCACGTCGGAGGCGTCCCCCGGTGTGGGGCACGTCGGAGAGTCAAGAGGCATAGCTTGTTGGTGTCCCTACGGCCTGGCAGCGGTAAAGCTTCGAATTACAAACAACGGAGTTGTGGGTTCATTGGTACTTGCATGTCGTGACTTTTCATGCCATAAGTCATTAGTTGTTCTTTGTAGCTCGACAGGAGGAGCAAGAAGAAGCAATGACATCATCAATTTCCAAGTGCACCGTTTCACTCGCTTTGTCATGCGAGGCTTCAGATGGCACCTCGGTCTTCACGGCTCCTTGCTGCCTTCCTTTGTGCCGGGCGCTGAGCCAGCTCTCCCCCGACGGGCACTTCAACTCTTCCGGATTCCGACGCACATGTTCCAGAATTCGTGTCTTTGAAGCTGCCCGTGCCTCAAGTTTGCGAGTGCACCACCAACAAGCCCCACCTCTTGGTGACACATTTGATTTGTTGCACTCTTGGCAAGAACCCTTTGTGTGCGGGTGATTCTGTGAGGGGTCTTGAGCAATGCAAGAAGCAAGCCTGTGCCGACGCAGAACCGCTCGAGCTGAGATGCGAACCGTCAGCGCAGTGTGTCACTGAAAAGCTCAACCCAGAAAGCTGCAGGCCAGTCTAAGCTCAGTGAGATGTCCAAGTTGCGAGTGTCCAAGCGTGTAGGACTCTAGGACCCTAGGGTCTTTCACGACACAAGAGGTAACCAGGTACTGCACAGGTTGCTGTGCGATGGGCGATGCACGGTATTATATCATGTCGTGCCGTGTAGGTCTGCGCTCGCTCAAAGTCTCTCTTTTTCTACATCTCCTTGTAATCTGTGTGTGCCGTATACACAGGGCGTACGATCGTGTCATATTAAAGATCAAGATGTGCGATCCTCTCTGCTTTTGCTTGGCCTGAGGCTCTCTCCACCTCGCAGACGCTGGGCCACCACCCTGGCCACTCATGTCCGCTGCAGCCGGAGCCAAAGCGAAGCGAGTCCTAGACAGGTAGGGTTTCGCGGTTCGGGTTCCGCAGGCAGGACGGGGCGGGGCAAGGGACGTTGGAGCTTTCCAGGTTACAGGGCTGGAGGGGAGAGCTGCGTGGTGCCATGAACGCTGCGGTACCGAATCGGCCCTGCTACGTGTTTCGTACCATCTGGGCAGCGCCAAGAAATGTGTTGCCTTGGCTGAGAACTTGAAAAAGGGTAATTGAGCTGCGCAGTATCCAACATCGAAGTGGAGGGTAAGACTTGCTGAAGTCCTGGACCTTTGAGGAGCCGAAGTCTTGCCAAGACATGATAAGACATGTGCCCTTGCCCAAATATGGATAACAAAACACAGGATGCAGAATAAATCGAAACGGCATCTCTCTCTTCCGGCCCTGCAGCCGATGAGTCTGACATTGGAGCAGCCATACGACTACGAAGACAACAGCACCTTTAGATACATACTTGCTTATTGTTTGTTGACGCATGCGATGATCTGATGAAGTCTGTCGTAAACCTCGTGAGCCACCAAGACTAGATTTCCGTAGATGCCGCACCAAGGCAGACAAGCTGCTGAGGAGCACCGGGATTCTCCGCAATGCTTCGCACGTCTGGTTGGAGCTTCGGGCCCCCCTTTCCGCCTCCAAGAACCGCAGAACAGCCTCCAGTAGCGACTGCAACAGGAACGGCAAGAATGGTGACCTATCCCTCCTTGCTGCTGCAGGATCGCGCGTGTGAAAGCAGACCCAGAGGCGGCGGGAGGGGAGAGCGGCTGCCGGCTGTCGGGGACCCCCCTTAAGTTAGAGGACACGATGGATTGCATAAAGGCCATCGTCCAGCCTAGCGTGACCAAGCGGGGAACAGGGTCGGTTCTTTGGGCCAGCCAAAGTTCAAACGAAATGGGGACAAAGCTTGGCTTGAAGCCTGGGTTCCTTGTCGACGAATTGATCATGGGACCGGCCCGATCCGTCCATGCCTACTCGGCCCACTCTCAGGGCCCTCGTCTTCTGAGTGCCCGTGTCAGGCCTCGGAAGGAAGTGCTTCCTTCACCGTGCAGCTGGAGCAGAGCTTCATCTCCCATGTGCGGGTACTCGGATCTTCGGGAGTGCCGGTAATAGCGTGTTGAAAAATAGCATGCCAGCTGCATCTGCTGCTGCTCCTGCTTCTTCTGCTGCTGCTTTTAGCTGATGTCGCAACAGTAAGCGCCCCTTTCAGCAGCTTCCTGCCAGAGAGCTGAAACCAATTCCTGATGTCGACAGGACTGCAGTGAGGCGCCTGAGCCGTCTAGTACGTACCTTACTGATCGCCCAATGGGCTCCTGTCCAGAGGCAGAGCGACAAGGTCTCCCAATCAGACGAAAGTGTCAAAGTCTGGCTGCAGGGCCAAGGATGAATGCGAAGGCTCCCAGGCCCCAACATGCACACAGCAACCTGGACTTAGAACGGCAAGGCAATCCCCGGGCCCTGTAGAATCGGGCGAGCCAGGTTTTGGAGTGCAGAACCCTACTGGGGATTGAACCTCGGTGGAGTTGGGATCAATAAAGCAGAGGTTGTGATCGCTCGCGACATCAAAGCATCTGACTTGCACGCATCGTGGGCTTACCTTCGAAACACAGGCGGAGGCGCCTCACCAGTTGCTTTCGGCGCAAGGCACGGCATGGGACGGAACACTCCGACAACTCGTCGTAATATGATGACGATGAACGGAAGGAATAGAAACAGGAATAGCACCGGTAGTGCCACGTCGATCGTATTGTCTTCAAGAAGCCAGTCAGGCCGAAGGAGATGCGATTCGTCCAAGCTCGAAGGTTGTGTGAAGGCTTCACAGGCATTGTCGGGTGAACAAGCAAGACTTGTGCGAGGCCACGCCGTTTCACTCAGCTCCTCAGAGATCGTGTGCTGGGACGCTGGTCTGCAGACTTGGGCAGGAGCTTCCTGCAAAGTTCGGACGATGTTTGTCAGAAGGCTAAACATGTATCAAATTGCAGAAGAAATAGGATTACCAGCCAAGCTAGGCAGCTTCCACTAGATGTTCAAAACTTGGTTTCTGCCAGAGCGAATGAATGCTCGCCCCCAAGCAGTCATCCCGGCCTTGTGGCAGGCCTCATGGCTTCATTTCTCTTTGTATACTTGGCCCGCCCTTCGCAACTCCAGGGCCAGAGAACTGGAACACTGCTTGGACCATGCCAGCCAAGGAAATTGCTTCTCCTGAGGCTACGGCTACGACTGAAGGGGCGTAGATGCCAAAGTTCCAAGGCTGCAGGGCTCCATCAGCATTGTGTGAACGGTTTGCATGGAAATCGTCTGCGTTCCATCTTACCCACACCCTGACACCCTATATCCTCCTAAGTCTCCTGTGTTCTCACGCGCTTTTTGAAAAACAAACCCATAAAGCAGCTTGAGGGATTCGGGCTTCATGGTTTAGGGCCTTAAGGCCTGATTCCGCAAGACGCTAAGAGGCCTGGATGCCAAGACAGGTTTCAGGCTTTAGGGCCCTTTAGGGTTAGTTTAGGGGGTTTGTGTGTAGTGTTTAGATGTTCGCTTAGAGTTTTGCAGGACCTGGGGCAATGGTTGGATACCTGCATCCGGGGGTGGGGTGACTGCCTTCGCCTTCGCATCGCGACAGTCCGAAGTTGCATTGGGAGTGGGCAAGTGAGCCTGTTCAAGCGTCGGGGCTTAAACTTCTTACGAAGCCGAGATGCCGTACTGTGTTCAGTCTGAAAGGACTTCCTAGGGTCCCGACTTTGAAAGGGCTCACTGCAGACCTGCGACGGGGCGCCAGGAGAAATCGAGTGCATGTGCCTTTGCGCCCAGTGGTGCTCGACCCCCTGCGCACTTGCCACTGCTTGTGTGCACTTTCGCACCTGGAGTTCACGACAGTGCTGCTTGGGTCGGGTTCGTGAGGACAAAACCGCCGCAGACAGACCCTGGGTTTTGATGCATTTTGGCCTTTGAGTTGCCGTGCTGACCGAGGGATCGACAGTAACCAGCACCTCCGACTTTGGATTTTGATGCGTGTGAAACGGAGGGCGAGAGAGAGTTTGCGTTGTCCTTGACCGTCCATGTAAGCCGCACAGTGCAGACGTGCTAGCAAAACGACGAACCATGCGCCTCCACATCAACCGCAGCAAGTTCACACAGCGCGCATGCCGACGCGATGCGCAAGAGACCGTATGGCGCACGGAGAGTCAGCCCTGCCATGGACTCCCCTTTTGCCATATCTTTTCCCTTGCCGTCCCGGCCTTTGGGCTTTGGCTCAAGGGAGCGGTTTGCTGGGCCTCGGAGCTCCCGCCGCAGCCCCGTGTGAGCGGAGCCATGCCGCCGAAGGGGAGAAAGAACTCAGATGAGGCAAGGCCCTGCCGGACTTCGGGGAGTGGATTGGTGAAGGGTTTCTGTAAGAAGGTTTCTCAAGATGTGGCCCAGTTCCTTCCGGCCTCTCTGAGCCCAAGAGCCGAGGCCTCCTGCCCCGCCCTCCGCCCCTTAAATGGCAACCTCATTAGGACCGTCTCATGGCCGGAGAGTCAGCCCTTGATCTGTGCAGGCGATACCAGCGAAAGCAGGCGCATGGTGGGGATGGGAGTGGGTCAACGTGTTTCTCTTCTTATCCTTTCGGTCGCATGAGTTTTACGCTTCTCGTCATGTGCTCCTCTTCTACTACTAGGACGGCTTGTCGTGGCCCATGGTGCACATAAGCTTCGTGGTGGGTGTGGCTGGTGAAGTTCAGGGTTTAAGATGCGCAGCTATCCAGTCTTCGCTGGTTGACTCGGTTTATAGTTATCCACTTGACGAAACTTTTCGTGCCAAATGTCGTCGAGATCATGTTGCTGGAAAGGATGCCGTCCATGTAGGCTCGTTCGAGCGTCGGCACAGAAGCTGGATCTCCAAACTACGACCTTGTCTTACTTCGTCCATTGCCAATCAGCTAATCCAGCTGTTCCTGCGAGCCAGTACTGGCAGGAACAGCAAGGTGGCTGTTGCGGTCTTGTGTAGTCTTGTCCTTGCTGTTTGACTTACATGATCGGTACCATTGCTGCGTTCTCCACATCCCAGGTACCGCCGATAGTGGATCCGCCTGGAGCAGGCAGCCCCAAGTTGTGTTTTTTTGAATTGGCCCTCTTCCTTGAGTGACTTCCCGACCTTCCCGACCTGGGTACCAAGCTTCGCCTGCAGCTAGTACTATACACCCTTAAAGCACGAGTCGAAATCCTAAACCTCTTTGTGGAGCCCTGCCTTGTGCGAGAGGGAGAGCCAAAAACTCTCTGTACATATACAGAGCCCAAAACACTGCCAAACTTCAACCATTTTGAAGCCTCAAGCTCGGACCTTCTTTGCCATGCCTGCCTTGTGCGGATGTGTGAGTCGAAAGCGTCTCAGTCCATTTCTCATCTCGCTTGGCGGAGGCCTCCAAATACAGGAGCTCCCGCTCGGGCACCCACAGCTTCCTCAGCAGGCGGGCGCGAAGACGACTCCGTTTTCTTCGGGGCAGTTCCCAGGAGTCTACCATATGGGGTTAATTACTTCCTGTAGCTGTCCTTACGAGACGCTTCTGTTTCGGGCCCATTTAGCTGTTTGAATCGTACATTCGCGAGGCTGCAGGTTTGGATTGGCGAAGCAACGGGCCGCGGAGCGTCTCACAGTGTATCGGGGTATTAAGAAGGGCCTGCAACTGGAACGGCCGGTCCCGGTCCCACTGCGCAACACACATCATTCTGGTTCTACCTGAAAGCCGCAGTCCCAAGCCCAAGCCCGCCCATCGAAGTGACCCCTTACCTTCATAGCTCCAGGCCGTAGGCCGAGAAAAATTTTATAGTGGTGTCGATGGTTGCAAAGGGACGACTTCATCGGCTGCTGTCTTGCGCTGCCAGGCCCGAAAGCTAAGGCTGCTGGCGTGAGCCATATGAGTATAGCTGCTCAGGCGGCGAGGCGGGGCCGGGGGGGCGGGTCCCGGGGTTTTGGGCTTCGACTGCCGGCAGCTCCTCAGAGCCGAGCCTGTCAAAGCGAGAAGACCAGAAGATGCGTCAAGATTGAAGAAACGAAGACCGGCGCAGCGTTGGTGATGAATTGAATCCAAATGCTGATCGCCGGGCGACTGGCTTTGACGAAGACAATGACTGGTGATGGCTTTGTTGCCGATTGGGGAGACTTCGATTAAAGGCACAGGACTGGCTGACTAGCTAGTGTCGGGAGGGAAGAAAGAACAACCCGGATGATTCGCAGTCAGCCAAGCGGCGTATAACGAGAATGCGTCAGCGTCGCCAAGGACAGTGAAGGTTGGTGTGGTGATATGCATCGACGAGGATGATGATACTGTTGGTGATGCTGACGACAAGCAGGTCGTTGCAGCGACGATGGTGTTGCCGTTGACAGGAGGGGCGAAGAACAACACCTGCGAGTGCAAGACTTCAGATAAGCTCTTCTTTGCTTAGTGGGTTGAGACAAGCAAAGCCTTCGCGCATGGAGCCACCTTTGCCGCAGGAATCTCGGAGGTTTTGTGCCGAATAAGATCTTCGTCGGTGGTGTGCCGATTACAGTCACCGAGGCCCTGGGAGTTTGTGTTGGGATCGTGCACCGCGCAATCTGCAGGATTCATGAGCATAAATGAGGGCGTTTACGGGGAGAGGGGTTCGAGGTTTGCGCATTCGATGGTACCCGCTTCGATACCTTCAAATGTTCACGTGCCTGTGAACTCGTTTCGTTGCTGACAAGTCCCGTGAACAATGGTGCTGCTCCTTCAGCCACAGGCCCCTGTTGCTCAAGGTTGGCCCTGGGCCCTTTATGATGAAGGGCCATGAGATGGGCCTCTGAATGGGTTAGGCAGAGAGCCATGTGTCAGTCCTCGTTGCAGGAGCAATTCAGGCAATGCTTTGCGCAGTACGGAGCCATTGCGAAAGCGGCTTGGCAAGACTTGCCAGTCAGGCCGCTGCCCCCCAACACTCGCAGTTTCGTATCGTCGTCAGCAATGATGGTGGTAGCAACAGCACGGGCAATTAGTCATGAGCTCGCCCTCGTCGCCCACAGCCGTCATTCACCAAGTCCGAAATCGCAGACCCTCAATGACAAGAAATTGTAGAGACTTGTGGTGTTGGCTCAAGCGCTTTGTGGCCTTCGTCGCTTACCGCACAGCTTCGCAGACATGGGCATGGCATGAGTGCCGGCATCGGTTCAAGCACTTCAAAACCGTAGTGAGCGTCCCTGGAATCCCCATTCGCCGGCTGAGGTGGAGCTTCATGCGCTGAGAGGCTTTGGATACATAACCTACGACACCGTCGAGGCCAGAAGGAGGGCCTTGGGTCAAAGAGCTCTCATCGATGCCTTGTGCCAGCTAGTTTTCTTACAGGTAAAATAAACTTCCAAGCGAACTCCGCCACCGGATCAAGATAGTCTATTCCCGCATACAGAATCCTGCAACATGCATCCCTCTATGCCATTACCTTCGTTTTCCTTTCCGCAATCGTCCGACTCTACTCTCCTCGCTCGGCTCAGGCTGTGGATGCGTGTCTAGAAAAGTACGAGGAGCATTACCTCAGCAAGAAGTGGGTAGAAGCCGCGACCTCGGCGCCTCGGATCTTGGCGCCCACTCGGGTAGCTTCAGGAGCCAGGCATTAGCCCTTGATCTGTGTGAGGTCAAGCGTTCCATCCCTCGAGAGCTCATCGACGCCTACGCATCCCGGCAAGAAATGCAAGCTGCCAGTTATAAGCAGTATAGCAGCCCTCTTGGTCGTCGTCCTCGGGATACTTCTGCCGAAGCTTTGGCTTCCATAGACTTGTTCTGAGCCGAGGAGAGGGAACAGCGGCGTTTACATAGCCTCCACAGCGAAGCTCAGAAAGCAGCAGCGCCCAAGGCAGCTCGGAGTCAATGGCTCCAGGGAGGGGCAGATGTAGAGATAGTTACACTTTTACATGCAGCATGTCCCTGTTGTGCGATAGTTTGCATGGGACAATTAGGGGGTGTTGCTCATTTACATTTAAGACGTTGTTCTTCAGTCCAGGATGGGGGTCGACATTGACGTTATGCTTCCAGTTGCTTGCAGCCCAAGCTGCAAGGGCTTTTCAATTCCTGCGTGTGCTTCTAGAGTGAGGAGTGAGGATGTTCAACGATAAATGACCACATCTTCTCGGTGCTGCGCGACAACGGAAAATTTTGGATTTATGCACGTAAAGATTGAGGAGGTTGATAAGGTTGAGGTGAATAGATACGTCCTTTCTACGAAGTAGCCTTATAGAGTCGCTGAGCTTGTTGAGACCGTCTTTCCTTCAAGAGTGTGGGCTGAGCTATCAGCGCCCTGGGCATGAGGTCCCTTGAACTGGCTCTAGGGATCTGGCTCTTAAGAAGGAGACTATTTTTCCCCGACAAGCTGAGGAGCCTGCGGCGTCGCCCAAGGCCGCGGCCACCGCGCCGTCGGGCTACGGGGCGGCAAGCAGCACAAGGGCAGATGCCGTTGCATTCCTGTCGTGGGTCTATAGGAGCTGTATTTCTACGGAGGTGTCTGCTTGCGGCACAAACCACCCGAAGCGCTAAGGCTGGGTCTTAATCCATGGCTGAATGCCTTGGCTGAGGTGGCAAAGGCAATGCGATTCCCGGCTCTGCCGCGGCCTCACAGCCTTCCTGATGTTTATTCGCGGCCGTTCCGAGACCTGGGCCCTAGTGCCCCGCTTTGGCGCTTAAGCCTTAAGGGTGGTGGATGGCCTGCGAACGCGTTAGGGGTTTTTCTAGCTTTCAGGACGTCCGTCGAATCGTCTGATCCTTCAGATTGAGAGCGACCCACCTTTGCTGTTATAGTACTGCATCCATCTCAGTCCAACGTGCGAACCGTGTGTCTGCGCCTAGGCGCCCACGCCGAAGGCGGCCGCCGCGTGCTGGCCTCAGAGCTGACCACGTGCATTGGTACTGATCACGCCTTCCTTTGATTGCCTCTCTTAGTTTGATCCCCCTGGCCAGTGGCGTGTGTTGCGCCAGGCCCACCGGCATCGCTGGGCCTAGACCGCCTCCAACGGCAATGCCTCTCCAGAGGAGCGCCCGCCAGTTCGGCTCTTGTAGCTCTCCGGTGCAACACTACACCCCAATCAGTCTCCATAGTTCGTGTGTCTCCGGTTTCTGCGCCACCGCCTCGTAACAGTCCGTCTCCCGGCAAATGACGAGAAGCGGTGGAGACCAGGACGAGAACTTCCTCCTCCATCGGTAGCGAGAAAGGCTATGGAGGCTTGGGCCGGTCCTGAGATGAAAATTCTTTTCGTTTCGGGATCTATATCGGGGCAGGGTTGCGCAGGAGGGTATGAGGCTATCAGGGTTTCGGATCTCTGACTGACGGGTTTTGGGCGAGCTTTGAGCTTGCGGCCGCGAAGAGTTCTTGGGGAAGGTTCACGAAAGGTCCATGTAGTTCCCAGGCGAGAGCCCTTGCTCAAGAGAGCAGGCCTTGTTGCGCCGAGCAACCCAAGCCCGACCCGAGTAGGGTAGCACATGAGAATCGCGAGAAGCCATGCAAGAAGGATGTTAGCTTGCACTGCTTCGATGTGCAATCTGCTGGGGTCTCGCGGGGTTGTACTCTGCGGCTTTGCAGCCTTCGTAAGCTGCGCTACTCTGATGACCAGGTCCGGACCCCCCGCCGAAGTGTTATGGCCTCATGAAGACTGGAACCGACCTCCACCACCGGACACATGCCGTCGCACTCGGTTTATGCCCTTCCTTGCCGGCTGCCCCAAGTCCTGCGCCGATCTTCGGCCTGACAAGCCGACAGAGCGCTTCTACAAGACTGCGGTGATTTGGCGTTTGGGCCGCTTGAAGGAGATCCACAATGCCACAGCAGCAGCAGCCCTCACAGACACGGCCATGGCACAGCGGTTTACAGCGGATGCGGCGTACATCCACGCCTTCGCAGGAGCGGAGCAAAGCCTCACTGAGCAGCAAGCCCAGGAAACCCAAGCTTTGGGCCTGGGACCACTGAGCCTGTCGCAGCAGCGGAACGTGCACATGAGCCTTGCATACCTCTGCTGTCTCACGTCCACAGAGATGGCAACTGTTAACGAGGTCGTCGGGCGGTGGCTGCAGCAGCAGATGCACGTGGACTTTCAAGCCGTCTTCGATCGTGTTGAGTGCTGGCAGGAGCGAGTCGACTCGATAACCAACATCATCGTCGCCAACGAAGCTACGCAGAGGACGGTGATGAAGCTCTACCAATCGCTCCTGCGTTCGATCGAAGATGCTGGTGTCCCCCAGCCCGTTCAGCGGGATGACCAGATGCCGTTCCACATGACCTTGTTGGGTTTGCGCACGGTCGGCTCGGACATCTCAGCCTATCTGACACCTGTTGCTCGGGCCGTCGATGCTGCGACGAGGCATTTTGCCGGCGGTGTGTCCACGCGCATTCGCGGCGCTCCCAAGCTGGACGAGCCGACTCCGGAGGAGCAGCGATAGCATTCCCGCGAGTCGAGGGCGAGGGAAGCGTTTCGGCAAGTTTCAGGTGGAACCGAGGAGAGCTCTGTCTTCTGCGGCTTCGTCATTCGACAACGCTTGCGAGGCCTTGTTGTGGGGCCGCGCACTTCGTGTATGCGATGCCAGCTCGGCAGCGCTCTGTCCTCCCTCGGTGAAAAAGTGTCGAGCTGAGATTTCCATGTTCGGCTTAGGCCAGATGGGTAGACAGGGGAATCACTCAAGCCCGTCCGAATCCTCCCAGGGTTGACTCCTTCAGCTGCTGTGCAGGGCTGCAGGGGTCCGACACGGATGCGAGCAGGCTGAAGCGATAACTTCATGGCAGTTCGCTTGCCAGGTACGACTCCTGCGGATATGGGTAGAATCTCGCAGCTGAAGGCCTTTGTTGTCGGCAAACATGGAAACGATTCGGCATGCACAACGTGTAATCTGCGGATAGGTCATATGGCAGGTGTCAGACATCCGCCCATCCTTCGTAGCTGCAAGACACATCTGGAGAATGCACAGCCGGCTAAGCTTTCGAGCAGGAGATGGGCTTCTCAGACGAAGTGTCACGGAGGGTGCTTGCCGAATGCGCGTGGGACGTGAACAAGGCCACTTGCTGAGGGACATTCCTGGTTGCGTGCCGCATCCCTGTTTCTTCGGTGTTTCGTGCTTTGTTGTTGAAGCTTCCGGAGCGTAGACTTTCTTCCTAAAAACGATGGGTTTCGACAACGCCTGATCATCTGGTCTTGGTGCGCTTGTTTTACGGTAACCCCTTGTCATGGCATGGGTTGCTGTTACCTTTTGCATAGATCCCGTCTTGTAGTGGTGCTAAGACTAAGTGCCTGCAAGCGTCTTGACTCAAGAGGACCCTCATCTAACAGAGGCCCCTCACAGCTCAGCGGGGGGGTCTTTTCATGAGCCTTGTCGCAGGCAATCGACCGACTGCTGCTGTCAGGCGTTCCAGATGACATGCCGCAGCAAGGCACCCACGAGACACGAGAAGTCCCACGGCTCAGTGTCGCTGTTAGACTCAGACATTGAAGTTCGGCGCTGGCAGCGGTCTCGACATCGAAGTCTTGCTCTTGCTATTCCGCGCAGGAGACTCAGAGAAGCCAGGCCAAGCGGCACTTCAGGGATGCGGTTGGGGCGGGGGCGAGTGCGACCCAGAGACGGCAGTGACGGTAGCCTGAGGCCTTAGGAAAGCTTCCAGCTGACAATAGCCGGCTTAGAGGAAGAGCTTTTGATGAATGAACGAGATGCCACGCGACATGAGCTCCCCATCAGCGGGGCAGAATGCCATGCCAGGGCTGCTATCCAGACTGCTCGTAAACAGCATGTACTCGTAGTTTCAGGCATCAAATCAGCGCATACACAAGGTACCGGTAGAGACTCGGGCATGCGGTTCCTGCGAGGGTTGTGGCTGCGGGGTAAAAGCATGGAAACTGCTTGTCGCACAGGAAGCTGATGATTTGTCGGCTGTAGAAGCTCGGCTCGTGTGGCTGTCAGCTGCCAGGCACCGGAGACCCTCCAGAGGTCCCCGAAGAGCCCGACGATCTCGATGCCTCAGCCGAAGCGCGAAGCAGCGACCACGTAGGCCCTTTCTTGGTGGACGGGGAAGGGGGGGGGGGGTCAGATGTTGGAGCTTCGGGCGGGGAAAAACGGAGTTTCGGGGTTTCGGCATGTTTCGGCCATTTTTAAGCTTTCCTTGACAACAGGGCGAGCTGGAGGCAATTGTTGTGTCCCTCCTCTGCTCTTCTCCGACCTTTGCTCCTGTACGTGCCTCCGCTTCCGACTCCACCCCGACCTTGAGCGACCCACATCCATGCGGGTCTTTCTGCAATTGGTAAACTTTGGTGTGATCTGTAGGAGGGTTTTCGGAAATACTTATGGGGTAGAGGGGCAAGCATGGGGCTGCAAACCACCCCCAACCATGCCGCGCCCCTTGCCGCTTTTTGGCCGTGCCAGGTGACGTCAACGGCAAAAGTAGCTTCTTCCCGGTCACACTCTCAGCCGTTGTATGCACAGTGAGCAACCGGCTCCACATCGAAAAAACGAAGGCAGGTGAGGAAGACGAGCCCGGGTAGATGAACGGCAAGGTAAGCAGAGACAGCAAGCGAAAAGGAGCCGGATAGGCCCGGATAGGCTGTAGAAACTGTAGAATTCAAGCTGCATTGGGTTGCTGACTCCCACCCGGCGTGAATAGGCCGTTAGTCGCGGACTTGGGGCAGGGTGCAAAATCACAGCGCAGATGCTGCCATCAAGACCATCTCCTACTCAATCTTTTGCCCGTCGTCCAAGGCCCAGGAGGAGAGTACGCTCGAAGCCGCGAAGGACGCAGAGGCGGGTGGAGGGTCGGCACATGAACTGATGACCGTGATACTTGCTCCAGGACTGTTCCTTGTAGACCCTGTCTTTGTGTCTTAGTCTTTCTCGTGTTCTTGTTGTTGTTGCTGCTGCCGTTGCTGTCGCTGGTGGTGGGTGTGCTGCCAGGCCCCCGCAACGGCCGCAACGTCACAGAACGGAGGCTCGCTGGAGGGCTCCTCCTGCTGCCACCCTGCTGCTGCGACTACTACGTACCATTACCACGACGACGTCTACGACGAGTCTACGAGATGCGCTTGTCAGAACTCTTGTCAGAGCTTTGCTAGGAGTTCCGGCTGAGCAGCAGCCGGAAGCTGCGGCAGCGACCAGTGAGGCCAAGCGAGCACTTGTGTTCACACCCGGGAGCCGTCAGGTTTGGACAAGCCAGCTCCCGCCCTACAAGAAACGGCGCCTTTCTCCATTCATCTCAGCCAGTCTAAGCTTCCAGGAATCACGTAGCCTGGGTAAGCGCGTAAGTGTTTCGCTAGGAAAGACTGGGCGGGCCGTCGCTAGGGCCAGGACCAAGGTATCTGCGAATTAAAGCCGAAGGAATTCAAGGCCCCTGCACCGTACAGCAGAGGATGAGCTTGAAGGTTGCTTCTAGCGGCACCCCATTGGTAGCGGCTGCTGAACCCGCAGCTCAGTCCAGCGCCCAGTGGGTAAAGCTGTGTGAGTCTCGGACTTAGACTTAACCATGACATGGTGCAGCATCGCCGACATGAGGCCCCCTGCCGCCACCCCCGCCGCTCCGACAAAGCGACTCGAGCGGGCGAAACAAGCCTGGACACCGGGGGGGGCGGGAGTCGGAGTCGGAAGGGCAGCGGTCGCAGCGAGCTTAGACTTAGACCGGGTCATGCCTGTGTGCTTCGCTTCAGGACGGCCGGTGATCCCAGCCAGCTCAGCGTTTCTGACCAAGAGTTTGTTTATGCCGGGGCCCGAAAAGAAGTTTCTTTCAAGCGAAGCACCCGTGACGAAAGACGAAAAGCTTCAACTACGAGAGGTGTGGACAGCGACCGCGACAGAGAACGGGTGGATCCACGCCGAATTAGCCAAAGACCAGGCCGGTCCAGGTGTTCCTGCATTCCAAGTCCATCCAAGTCCTCTTGCATGTTTCTCTCTGACTTCCTAGACTCCAAGACTGTCTTTGTAGCCGCAGCACATCAAGCGGACCCAGACGTGATGATGGACCCCTAATTCTGCCAATGCTGTGTCAAGCATGTTCTGGTGTGGCCCGGAGTTAAACGCGATATGCGGGGCGAGAAAGCCGGCATCATGCGTGTTCTCACGCATCGAGCAGCCAGTCCTAGCCTTGCCGCCAACACAGCGCAGGCAAAAGTGGGCTGGCTTCCCCGGTTGGTCCTCACAGAGCTCCAGGAAGGCCAACGATGGATGTCCCTTGGTGCAAGCTCGAGGGCAGACACGACACAGGGAGAGTGTTCTTGGGACCCCTTTGCTTACCACTAGACATGTGCTTGCTTGTCCACCGGGGTCAAAAGAGATGGTTGCAGCTTGGACTTGTCCTCTCTCTCTGTCTCTCTGTGTTCATCCTTATGGAGCTGCCCGCGGTCTACACTTACTTTGCTTGCACGGAATTGCAGAACATGCCGCTCGTTGAACCTGAGAATTCTACCCCACTGCTCCGACTTTTCTGCGGCACTCTGCAGCTTCAGCTGTACTTCGCCATTGTGCCCAGGAAAGCCAAGACCAAGTGGGAGGCCAGGGAGGATGAAAGGAGCAGTCCCAGATCAAAGTCTGTCAGCCAGTTCAGCTATGCGGATGAAATCAGATGCTCCACAAGAGCGACACAACCCTATAAGCAGAGTCCCGTTTGGAGGGAGGGAATTCATAAGTGCTTCTTCCCCCCCCGTTCCAACTTCAAATAGGCCGGGCTTTGAGAGTCAAAAGCCGGAGGGGTGTTCTCAGCATGCCAGGCACGAGACGAGTCACAGTGTAGTGTGGAGATTGGCGAGTTCTGCCTGGTGTGGGTTAGCTCCCTCACCAAGGAGGGTGCGAGGCTCAGCCTTCCGGGCTTTTCTGGGAGCTGTGCCATGTGAAAAGTCGGATGGAACTGAGGCTGGACCTACGTAGACTGCCAGGACGCCGGAATGCCGGCACTTCTCGAGTCTTCCCTCGAGACTTTTTGCCAGCCCTCCGAGCTCTGTTCTGCAGGATCGTGCCAGCAAGGGCTGGCTGCCAGATTTCTGCTTGGCACCTCGGCGATGAGCTTGCGCTGCCATAAAGAAGTCCGTCCTTGCGGCTTGTGAAGCCAAAAGCGATCTGAGAGCTCAGGTGTGGTCCGAGTAGTCAATACCTCCCGCGAGCCTCTTGGACAGCAGGGGCAGAGTCGTTCTTCGGAACCCCGAACCCCGACACGCTACAACTCCCCCGCATTTCTCTTCAAACGAGCCTCCTTGCACTTGGGCCAGAGGACGCAGCAATTACTTTACCCCGACAATCAACCCCTTTGCTGTCCGCATCACCACTACCGCCGCCACCACCGCCACCACCGCCACCACACTGCGTGGCTGCCTACCGCCATCGAGTCGGAAGGCCTCTTTAGCCGCGGCTGGAGGCATTGCCTGATGCTGACCTAGATGCCACTCGTGGCCACCACCCGGAAGGGGTGGGGACGGTGATCCACCTCGGCACTGGAGGGGTGCAGGATTCAGATGACCCAACTCCTAGTCAACAACATTGACATTTGTGAACTGCTCGTCTAGGAGCGCTCTTCTGCTGGTTGAAAACTGCTGTTTTGACAATGGCCAGGTGCATGGGTGTTCCCAGTAGCTCTGGAGCTCACCGGCCCCATCTCTTTTATCACCTGCAGAGCTGTATACTAGCCAGTGACAGACTCTTTCTATCCATCCGTCGGGGCTACACAAGCAAGCTGGACTAGCAAGTCGCAAGTCGTTCACAATTCCCGTGAAGTGGCCGTGGGATCAGGGAGTCAGATGTGACGCGGCGGCCAAAGATGCATCAGGCAGTTTCGTGTCGTGCACCAACCTCGTCTAGAGATAACACCTGTCAACGTCTTTCGCGCCGGTTGGATAGATCCAGTGACGGAGTCTGGGGGGTTTGTTGATGTAACTAGATGAGGGCTATGGCTCAATGGGTTTTCGGTGTGCGATTGGTTCAGGAGGGTCCCAAGGTAGCCATGCCGTTTTCCCTTGGCAATTTCATGGCTGGTAAGTCTTGGATTCTTGGATGTCTCCTAGCACGACAACTCTAGCCATCTGATCGTTTCGATGCCAAGTTCCAGGGACTTTCCCCCAGACTTCCAAGCGAAGCTGAGCTTGTTCGTTGTCACGCTTGGGACGTCGAATCCCCGCGTGGTGATGTTGGATCCATCAGTCACCAATGTCGCGACCTCGGAGAAAAGTGCCCGGCAGGGAGTGCGAGATCTGCCGTCAACACCACTTCGACAATCAACCAGCAGCCACGTCTTGTGCCTTGCGATCTGATCAGGGACAAGCATCCCCACGTTTGGAGGAAACTGTATGCAACCTGGATACGGACTCCCTCGGCGATGGTATCACACCGACACAGACCTATCCTCGCCTGGCTTCTCCGAGTTGTGAGAGCGTAGAGACCAGCTGCCGGAGCTTACCTTTACTTTTAGCGCAGCAATTGATTCAATTAGATCACAACTGTTTTTAAAGCAGGTAGCGTCGCAAAACTGATCTGTGACTTGTGAATCTAGCACGCCCAGAACAGGCCAATCGCTTCAACCGGAATTGGGCCAAGACGAATAGCAGGCACGCCTATGGACCTTCAATGTACTCTAGACTTGTGTAGTCATCGCCGCAAGGAAACATCCCGAGTCTTGGGCTTGACCGGCTAAGCGGCGGTAGAGTTGCTTGTCAGCTACAACTCTCTGCAGGTGTGTTGGTCCAACAGCGTCCCGCTCGGTTTCAGAGCTCATTTGCACGCAAGCCTCTGTTGACTAGTAGCACAAGGTCTAACCAGCCAGCGGCACGTACTTTCCAGCTAGGAAGCATCTGCTTTGCTTCAGTGGACCCTGGAGTGAGGGAACGAGGGTTTCGAAGCATGGAGGACGGCGCCTCTTCAGCCGCTTGGTTGGCACGGCAATAATTGACCGTGGCCCGTGTTTCTGCATGTATGCTTGTCCGGGCGGTGGTCTCATGGTCATGGACAAGTCAAATTTAAAGTAGCGCCTTGGGAAGAAAGATTAGTATAAGAAGGAGGTGGTTTGCAAGGAACGGCAGCAGCCCCTTCCAAGGTCATCGGATTGGGGTTTCGCAGTACAAAGCTGCAGCTTCTCGAGCATTTTGCCATGCCTGTAAAGGAGGGTACAGCTAGAGGTCACCAAGTAAGAGCCTCAAGGGCAAAGCGCCAGCATGTCTGAAAGCCTTGCTCGACAGTCACTCTGTTTCTTGCAAGGCGAAGACTTCCACAGGTGCTCCGGCAGCGGCATCGAAGGGCACTCGTGCCGGGCATCTTGTTCGATCTAAGGATTTCTCCTTGACATGCTTGTCTGATGCCCGACTTCGATATCAAAGGTGTTGTCGGTTGACTTTTAGGATGCTAAATGTCTTCAGTGATGTCGGTACACTCCCGCACTTGCACTTGCATGTGGACCATCCGAGGTACAAGAAGCAAGCTGCTACGCCTCCGACACCCGGCCTTCGAAGTGATGGGAACTCTACATGGCCCGTCTCTGGATTTTGCAAGCGACAGCGGGCTGCCACTTGCGCGCAGCCCACACGAAAGCCTCGACGACTGTTGCCTTGAACCCGCAGAAAGCATCCCCAGGCGTCAGCCTCAAACTCACGGAGCTTCGAAATGCAGCCCAGGAAATGGAGCATGGCCGAAAAGCCCAAGATGTGCCTTGGACAGCACATGTCGGTTGAAGCCAGGAATACAGATTGTGGGAAGCCGAAACATCTGAGGATCATTGGAGGTCCAGTGCCCTCCTGGCAGGCGAGCATCCCAGGCGGGACCCCAGGGAGCCAGGTTTCGGCGCTTCATCCTTGCTACCTGCTTGTAGCCTACACGACATAGTACGACGAGTCTTGGTATTATTGGTGTCACGAGCATGAGCCCTTTGCCTTTCTCCTTTTCAGAAGACGGCCCGGCCCGGTGAAAAAGTCGAGAGGGAAGCAAGGCCGATGAGCGCGAAGGCGATTTGTGCTACTGCCGCAGCAGAATGCACAGGGGGAATCGGAGCACCGAGGAGGAATAAGAGCTAGTAGAACCACAAGACTGCAATCGTAATTGTAGTAGCGGTGGCGCTGTGAAGATCTTGAAGCCTTCACTGGCACTCTCGTGATGCGCTCCGACTCGCCGGGCTGACAGGTCCTCAGTACAACTACGACACCAATAGCTTCAAGAAACTTGGCTGCATCCAAAGGGGTACCTTTGCCCCAGTATACGCAAAAACGCTCCGGTCTTCCCGATGCCTCCAGCCTGAGGAAAAAGCAGCCGGTGTACTCCATGCGCCCGAAGCCAGAGATGGTCATAGGCCTCGGCGCCCGGGGGGCTTCCAGAGCGAGGTGTTTCAAGGGGGAAGACGTCTCGACGGCTTCCGCGACGTGTTCTTAAGCTTTTGAATTTTGTGGTCCCCAGCTACAGTAGCTCTTCTAGTTGCTAGCTGTTCCGATGCCGCGAGGCTCGGGTCCTTTGCTGAACATCTGCGTACAGCCGTCTCCACTAACCTGCTGTCACGATGATAGTGTTGTACCTGGACTCTATGCCACTATGCTTTGCATTACGTTTTGCCAAGGTGGCGGCGTGCCTTCTTGGACCAAGTCCATCCCGGGCCCCATCTACAGCTACGACACGAACAGACTCTCTTCAAAACCTTTGCTAGGGGTTTTGAATGGTCGGGACATGACGGCTAGGCCTAGGCCCTAGGCCGGCTCGCGCTGCTGTCCTCTCTACGCATGCTCGAAGCTCAGGTTTCAAGGAGAAGCAGCCTGTTTACAGCATCCGTGGAAGGGGCGACGATGATTTTGGAACCTTGGTCCGCCAATTTCTGGATGCTGAGACTGTCAAGGTCTACTAAAATTGCAGGTGAGTTCGGGGCCTGGTCTGGCAAATGCCGCAGTAGTGCGATACCGCGCCGCTCATGTGGGGAGCATGCTGGTGAGCCGTACACATGACAAGTCATGCGCAAGGGCAAAAATCAAACGGAACGCTGGAGAGTCAGAGCCCTTCTCTAGGCGACAGCTCAGCTTGTAAGGTTTCTGTTCTTGACCGAGCATCCTCAGGGCTGCTACTGTCGGTTGAAAGATCAGCAACAGTGTGGGTCGTCATGAGGCAATATTATGGCGTCGGCCAGGCTTCGACGGCCTGTCCCTCAAAGCTCCATGCGCCCGGTCTCAGGCAACAAGAATGCCAAAGATGCCCCGCAAATATCGACAGAGCAGCTCATGAAGGCTTGGGCTTGGGATGAAGCTCTTCGCTGAAGTGGTGAGCGCCGTCTTTTGTGGGTTTGCAAGTGTCCGTTCCTCGCTGAGCTACGAGATGCTAGAAGCCCTCCGTATCCTCTTGGATCGATGTACGGACGATCCTTGGTCTTTGGCTGCGGGCTGCTAGTTCTATAGGCAGACGGCCCGCGGCAAAGATCAAGAAGACCCTCCGAGATCATGCGACCTTGTCCGACAGAGACGGAGACGGTCATTGTACCCGGCAAGCGGGCCGCCTCTACGGCTACTGATGCTGCCACTTCTGCAAAGTCTTGCAGATGTGCGGGGTTCAGGCTTCCAGGAAAGCATGATGGGCACGACTCATGACACATCTCCCGATCACGTTCTCCAAAGCCTAGCTTCTCTCGCAGGGCATCGACGCCACGCGGAAGAAGCCGCCGTCCTGGCCGCTCGGCTGCAACACGGCCACCTCGCCACTCAGCGCTGCGCTGAGCCCTCCGAGGTCGGTGAAGTCCCGGCCTGCCATGGTGCCCGGCGATGCGGTGCCCTCCTGGGTGGCTTCCATCCCAGGCGAGAGCCTTGGGGTTTACTCGAGAGAAAAAAAATTGATGCATGTTATATACAGATAGATAGATAGATAGATGTTACACTATACATATCGATGTAGGGTTTGTCTGTCTGTCTGTCTATGTATGTCTACCTGCCTAGACACCGCACATAGTACAGAGACGCAGAGGAAGCTGGTAAGTATGCACAACCCCATGCCCGTGCGACGACAGGTCCGAAGTATCAATACTCTGCGGATGTCCACAAGAAGAAGCAGCCAGCGGAAGCCTGAGAAGAAGCAAATTTCTCAAGAGCGGGACATTGTCCCAAAACGACTGAAAAGGCTCCGATGGCCTCAGCCGGCATATGGCAATGAGGTTCCTAAAGCCTTGAATCTGAGTAGCTGTGGTGCTCGTACCTGTCGTGGTAGGAGTCGTGGCTGTGGCAGCAGCAGCAGCGAGTGAAAGCGATGTCAGTAGACACGATACAGCAGTGCTGCCAAACAGGATTGTACTGATACGATGCTGGACTGCTAACACGGCCAAAGAAAGGCAAGACATATCACGGAAGCGCAAGAATGGCAGAGTAGGGATGGAGAGGATACATGCCCATGGTGGTCGTGACT